ATTGTTTCGACCTTTTCTGAATTCAAATTATAGTCTCACTTTTTTCATAGCAACTTATCCAGAATCGGACCTAAATCCATTACAAGGAATGTTATTTTTCAAGGAATGTTATTTTTAATCAGGTCGCTGTAATTTTTTTGATGTCGTTATAATTTTATTTGATTTTTAATAAGATCTCTATAATTTTCTCTTATCACGTGCCTGCAGTTTAATCTGATTTTTATATGGGAACATGATTGATCATTTACAACTTAATTTTCCTTTTTTCTTGACCTTTTTTTTTGGGTCAAAACCGTCAAATTGACCATTTGTTTTTGATTCTATCAATTCTTCTGTTATATGTAGATGCATAACTCGTGCTCTATTTTCGTCGTTTCTTTCCTCTTATTTGTTTCTCCTCATAATTCAGCAATAAATATTATCTCTCGTACTTAATATAAGAATTAGCTGACTAATTTAGATAAATTGAAAAAATTTATTAAGGTAGTTATTTGTAATAAACAGGTGTTGTTGCTCCAAAAATACTCTTGTTAATCATATCTATTAGCTAAACTACCATTTGTTGAAATTTTTAACATGTACAACTATTACAATGGATACTTAAAAAAAAAAGATAAATATAAAAAACAAAATGAATTAAAATTTTATATTTAGTATCAAATTAAAAGTCAAAATAACTTTTACATTAAACATCCCGAAAATAATAAGAGTATTATACATGAAGTAACGAGAGAAAGTCAAAATTCATTTCAATATTAATACGTGAAACTGATTTTATTGTTATTATTAATCTATGAATAATCATGTGCTTGTTGCAATTTAATATCGTATTGCCACCTTTTAAAACTGAATATATTTAGTCGTTTTATTCGTGGGGAAAAGGTATTACCATGTATAAAAAGCTGCACCAAAATCTAATTATTTATAAATATCAAGTGGGACAAAACAGGGGAAGATGATTTAGCTGACATATGCAAGAGGATATTACTTTGAATGTGAGAAGTGTGAATGCAATGATGGAACATATGCTTTCTAATTACTCCTCCGGTCCTTATTATAAGACCCAATTTGACTTTTTATTTGATCCTAATTATAAGACCCAATCCATTTTCTCTCTTATATTTATGTATTTTTTTCCAAGATAATCCTTCTAATAATGATAATTTTAGCCAATATACTTAATTAGCAAAGATATTTTAGAAATAACAACACTTATTTATTATAAATAACCAACTTAACTTACTTCCTTAATCTCCTCAAATAAGTCAATTGGGTCTTATAATTAGGACCGGAGGAGTATATAATTTGGTGTATAAAATTGTAACGTATGACAAAATAAACATAACAAAGACAACAATGAAATGAGAGTGGGAAGCGAATAAAATTATCCTCTACTTTAAAGCTATCTTCCTTCCTGAATTTAATATATCTTCAAAATTTAAATGTTTAAATTGCAAGAGTGTGTGTGTGTGAATTCTGGGTTTTGTGCGGAGATTTGCCCTTTTTTCATCTTTACAACAATTAATCTCCTATTGTAAATTAGTCTATTATTTTATTAATCAAGTATAAGTGATTTTTTTTTTTACATTTTAGCTTTTCCTGCCAGTAATTCCCTTAGACTTTATATGATGTCTCTAAGTAATGTCTAAGAATTTTAAGTCATGTATACACAATATTTTTAATTTACATGATACACGCTATATATATCTCGCACAGTTACTAGGAGATATATAAAAATCAATTAAAAAATTGTTTGTAAATAGTTTGAGCATTTAATGCAGGGAGGAGATCACGCAGGTAAGATTTCACTGCGTTAGATTGTCTGGTGTTTCGATTAAAAAAAATTATAATTTTAAAAATATTTTTATAATATATGAAATAAATATATAAAAAAATTTACCCTAATTTATAAAAAAATGTTTTTAAAAAACATTTTTGAAATTCCGTGTTATGATAGATCATAGATGGGACTTGGGACCTGGGACTTGGGACTTGGGACTTGGGAGGGTTGACTGGGAAGGAACGTGGGAGAGAGCTCAGGAAACAAATAGGAGGGAAAGTGAATTCAGAAGTTGCAACGTAAATCTTGAACTCTAAAATGTGCAGACCAACTTTAACATGTTTGGTATTGTTGATAAGAAAGTACAGGGGAATTAAATTCCTCTTAAATGGCAATGCATACAATCTGGCCCTCACAGCCGTTTAGGTTATTGTTTGTTATTACTATAATATATTATTCTCTTTTACGCTTCTTTCACCACTCACTGCCACCATTTTTGGTTTTAGTTCAGTACAATTGCTGCCTTCCTTCTTTTTTTCCTGCCCAAAATATATACAGTAATAATTCAAATTATTAGTACTTCATTATTAGATAGTTTGGTCCCCTGCCATCCACTTTAATTTTCAAAAAATTGGCATTTATTTATTTATCATCTTTTTGTTTCAGCAACAACTCATTAGTATGTTAAATTAAAGTGAAAAAAACTAACACAACCTTTTTTTTTTCGGTAGAGAAAAAACTAACACAACTTAATTTCTAGGAAGTGTAATGTTTAGATTTTTTTTTAATATGATTTTTGAATGGGCATTTCCGATTGTATAATTCAAGGATGTGAGGGCAAGTGGACTTGTTACCGTTCGCCAGGTGGACGGCTTTAGGCAGCTCACCGTCCAATTGTCGGTTGATATCACACCTGGTTCGAATTTCCGTCAGTGTCCCCGTCATCTGTATCAAATCATCTCAAATCTTCCCTATTTTGACCTTTTTATCAGTTCAAAGTTAAAAAAATATCATGGCAAAATCAAAGATATTCGTTAATAAAGATTAGGATAAATATAATTTTTGGTTCTTGACGTTTGAATTCATTTTGATTTTGATCCCTCAAATTTTAAACTAACAGTTTTAGTCATTGGAATTTAATATCTTAAAACGTTAGTTTGTGACCATATAACAATGTTCAAATTTACTAAAGTGTTATCAATAATGTTAAAAGGGGTGATGTTGACTCACCAAATGATATCTAACTAGATCTTGTATGAATAATTGAATATAATGTAATGAATAACTCCTAAAACAATAGTGAAGAAAAAAAAGAGGGGTTAAACAGCTGTATTTTGAGGATTTGTTTTTTTTTAACCCTTCTATTATTCACATAAAATCCACTTAAGTTTCATCTAACGAACCCTACATCATACTTTAACGCTGCTGTTTGATACTTTGAGGACCAACGTTTTAAGACGAATTAACTTTTAGGAACTAAAATCATATGTTTAAAATTTAAGGTATTAAAATTAAAATAAATCCAAATTTCAGTGAAAAAAATTATATTAATCCTAAAAATTACCCAGTACGTCATTCAAGTTAGAAAAAGATCAGACAACAAACACTTCACCACAACCATCACTGTGAGGTGGTAAGGAAAAAAATAATTACAAAAAAAAATCATTAGAGGACGATTAATGACAAAAGGAAATATTACTCAATATTATTTACAACTCATTTTTTTAATCAAAACATTTTTGAGATTTAATCATCGTTGAATTAAACTTTTGTGATTCCATTTCCCGTGAATTCCTCAGAAATTTTTTTCAAAGATGCCCAAGCGAAGAGAGCATAAGGTTGATGCTGAATAGGTTTGGGAAAAAGAAGAATATTGGGAATATAGAGCCGAGTAGGCGTATCTATTACTTGCTTCATCATCGTCCAATTTGAAAAGAAGGAATAATAACTCAAATGTTGCATCTTGCATGCCATTTCACAATCCCATCAAACCTCCACGCGTCATGGCCCCCCTAAGTTACACCAAACTTGTTGGCTTTGGGTCACCCTTGCGGTCAGTATTTCTTAGCTTCTCCAGGTGCTATCCCCGCTTCTCACACAAGTGCTCATGTATACTATTTTAATAGGAGAATCATAATAAGATTAAAAAAAATAATTATAAGATAAATTTTAAAAGTTATCATTTTTTATTTTTAAAATTTGTTATTACAGGTTGTTTAGGTTATTATTGAGACATTTTAGTAATTATTTTTCTTTCTTAAGACTTCATTATAATTTTTCCTACTTTAATTCTTTAATATAACAATTAGTTGACTTAGTTAAGTGGATTAAAAAAATTAATTAAATTATTTATTTATAATAAATAAGTATTATCTTCCATAAATTTTTTTTGTTGAGTATGTATATTAGCTAGAACTCTAATTTGATGAAACATTTATTGTGTGTAACTATTATAATGACTACCTTAAAAAACATGAATAAATATGAAAGATAAAGTGAATTGAGATCTTATTATTTAAAACTAAATTCAATGTTAAATTAGCTCTTGTATCAAAGATCAGAGGTAGTATAATTAAAAAAAATTACAATCAAGTCTTATTATTTAAAACTAAATTCAATGTTAAATTAGCTTTTGTATTAAAGATTAGAGGTAGTATAATTAAAAAAAAATTCAAAAAAAAATTATATTCATTAAAAATTATGAAGATAAAGCAATTTGCTGTGATAAATATTAGTGCAAGAAATGACTACAAGATCATGCGCTAACCTGTATTGAGACTTTTTTTTAGTCATTATTCGTCATGATCTCATAATACTTTTTTTTTTTTCTATATGATTTGATTTGATATGTTGGGTTTGTTCTTATTAGATTGATCAATTCAATCTTATTTTTAAATTATTGGGATTGACAAAATTATTCACGGCAATCTCAAATACGGAGAATTCCAGAATTGTTGAAAAAATACTTTAACAATAAAATTACACAAGAAAAAACTACTTTAAAATAATAAATGTTCTAAAACTTAATTTAGAATATTGATAGGCTAGTGAAAAAAATATTTGATGTCATGCAACTTAAACTTTTTTTTTTTAAAAAAATGAAATATCATTAAACCGGGTAAAACGAGAATTACGTAATTACAATTAAAATACTGGAAGATTCTGCCGAGGATTCTGTCACTACGTTGGCTGGCATGGGAGAGAAAGGAAAAGAATTGGCGTTTAGGAAAAGCGGTAAGCGGCGATGTTTCTCACTTTCACTTTGTTTTGGTTTTCTTCATTTCCATCGCAAAAAATTTATGTAAGTTGTCAAAATCCCAATATATAAATGTATGCGAAAAACGTCTGCCCCTGTATATTATTTTTCTTCGATTCTCAACTGTCACTCCGGGTTCAACTCGCGTGCATAGAAGTCAGACAAAGCAAGCAAGGAAGAGAGAATCGGAGGTACATAACGAAAGGGAGGGAGCAAGTGGGCGAAGCCCCTTTGACATTAGAGCCCCCATTTCAGTTTCGAAAAATTCTCTCCCTTGATTCTTTCAATTCAATTCTTATTCTTTTCTCTGATCATCTGGGCACTCTTGATCTCCATCACTATAGTGTACTCATTTACTTCTCAGATCTTCTCTTGTTTGAGTATCGGGTTCCAGTACCCTGCCTGTTCCTCCCTGATTCTGCTTCCCGGGAGTGTTTATTACAGGCGAAGGGTGGGTTTAACAGACTAAGAAAGAGAACAAGTGGTTAATTGTATCTGGATTTTGACGAGATTGTTGAGGGAAATCATGTTGACCTTAGGGGTGTGGTTATGAAGTAATATGGAAGTGATCATTACACGCTTAAAAGAAGAAAAAGAGCGAGAAGAAAAAGAACAACATGTCGCTTTACATTGGTCGCGAGGCTTCAAAGGTTTGTTTCTCAGTTTTTCCTTTTCACGTCACTTTAACTGCCTGTTCCTCTGTGGCTATCATTTTAGTTTGTCTGTGTTTGATTTCTTTTTGGTTCTGGATTTGTAGCTATGGAAGAGATTTTGCTCAGAGGCAAGCACGGAGATCAACCTTCTTGCGGAGAATTGGAAATACCTTCTTGCTGGCGTTGCTTTTCAGGTCTTTCTATTTTGATCAATGTTATGACTTCGTTGAAATTATTGTTTCAGAGCTCCGTTTTTCTTCTGGGAAAAGGATTATAACGTCCCCTCCCCCCCCCCCCCCCCAAAAAAAAAATTTCCACTCTGAAGATTGGGAATTGCTGAAAATAAACTTCACATCTAGTTGTGCGAAGTTTGCTTGATCGCTGCAAAAGCTTTCTGACATGTTATTGTGTCTTTTGTTCGCCTTTTGCTTCCACAGGGCAAATGATATATGATTCTTTTGAAGGTTGTTATCTAAACTTTAAACCTTTTCCTTACAGTACATACATGGCCTGGCTGCGCGAGGTGTTCATTATTTTCATAGGCCTGGCCCTATTCTTCAGGATGTTGGGTTCTATATTCTGCCGGTCTGTAATCGCAATTCCTTTTATGTTTTCCTCTAAATTATTTTTCATATTACTAACCATGTGTGTTCAATGTCCAATGTTTGTGTTGTTATAGGAGCTTGGACAAGAAAAAGCTTACATTAGCGAAACCCTGTTTACCTTTATCTTTTTATCTTTTTTTCTGGTAAGTGTAGCTGCTCCCTTTTTTCCCCCTCTCCCACCCGGCTGTTATATGTTACCTGCACTCATTCACTCATAGGAAGAAGCAAATTTCATTGATATTTGGAGATGGTGGTCTGTTATGGGCTACATTTTTGATTAATTATGGCATCTAAGTCATGATGGCAAAAGAATTGGTACTAGTTGGAACTTCTGTTTCGTTTCTTTCTCTTTCTTTCATATGAAAATGCATGGAGTCAATGCATTTATTGTCAAGTTGTTTAGTGATGCTGGAAGATGTTTATGTTTCATTGAAATCAAACTTTTGAAGCTCTGTAAGGTTTATTAGAAAGTCACACAGAATCCTTCTAACTAGTTTAGGTTAATTTGTAGTTGACAGCTGGGTTCTTGTGTTGAGGATAACTTGTTGAAAATATGAACTAAGAGAAGAGTCCCCCCCCCCCCCCCAAAAAAAAAAAAAAAAAAAAAATTTGTGGTTTGAGGTTTTATGCTTTTGAAATCAAGTACCAATTATCCGGGAGGATTATTTGGCTTTCATTAAATGGCTGTTTTCCTTTATAGTTTTTTTCTTGGTGTCCTGCTAATTGATGCTAAAGCTGCAGCTTGATACTGACTTTCTGATAGTCATGCAGTTAAGCTTCCCGCCTGATTTATCATTGATTCATATATCTGTCTTATTTTCTAGTAAGTTCTTCTTTCCAAGCGTCAATAGTTTCGGTGGTAATTAATGATATGCTGTGTTATGGGCTTTTGCAGTGGACGTTTCATCCTCTGATTTTGAAGAGCAAAAAGATCTACACCGTTCTAATATGGTGCAGGGTCCTAGCATTCTTAGTTGTAAGTGGTGATTAAATTGTGTTCTATTAAGATGACAGTATATTTTGGGAATCTTATTCCTAACACGTGGGTATTTGAAGTGATGGCTTACTGAAGGAATAGGTAGCTTACTGCCTGATCTAAATGCAACGTTTAATATCAGCACATGTAATGTCATCATTAAATGATCACGTCTAGTTGTGCTTCTGTGCATGTATGTAATAGTAAAGATTATATTTAACTTTTATCTCTTCTGAGCAAGGACTTTATGCAACCATATTGTAGGTAGCTTTGTTAAATATATAGTGTTTTTGCCCTTGACCATAAGCCACTCTTCGTGAATTGATGGTGGATGGAAAGAGATTAGGAAAGGTATTAATTATTGATATATTAGGCACCAAAGATAAATACTTGAAGCCATAGTTTCTACACAAACCTTAGAAGAATTTAATTTTATTTATTTTCATTCTTTTTTATACCTGGGTTTTTATTCACAGATCTATGATATTGTATTGGCAGAACTTTTGGATTTAAGAAGGAAATATTTTCAGAGTTCAGTTTCTTTGTTCCTCCTTGCGGACTCTCATGCTCCTCCCCACCCTCTTGCTCTTCTCCCTCATGTTTTCTTTTCCAATCTTTTATTCTTCTTCATTGGCAGGCTATTGCATATGGGTGCAATGAGCTAGTTTTTGATTTTATGATGTTTGATCCTACGTATTTGTTTGCTACAGGCTTGTCAATGTCTTCGGATTATCACGTTTTATTCTACACAGCTTCCTGGTCCAAACTATCATTGCCGCCAGGTATATTGCTTATGTGCTCTCTAAAACACTCTGTTTCATCTCGTGTTTGTGGAAATACTGTCTCTATTTTTGGAAACAATCATGATTCTGATATACTTTTTGCATCAATCAGGGTTCAAAGCATGCCACTCTGCCTCGCCCAGACAGTGTCCTTGAAGTCCTCTTGATTAATTGTTAGTATGCATTGTTGTATTTGTGCCATTGAGCTTCAATGCTTTGGTGCATGATTTTCTGCTCTTTCAATTTTCAATGTGCAGTTCCTCGTGGTGTGCTCTATGGATGTGGTGATTTGATATTTTCATCACACATGATCTTTAGTTTAGTCTTCGTGCTTACATATCAGAAATATGGCACGCGGAGGTAAAATTTTCTGTTCCTCGCCCTTTTCTATTTTTATATTAAGGAGAGATTTTACTGCTGTTTGTTGAGTTGGCGGCTTATAAAAATGGGCTAACGCTTTTATTGATACATGTTTTCTTAGTTGAGTTCTGACTTGTGATGATCCACTTCAGGTTTGTCAAGCAATTAGCATGGCTTCTTGCTGTGATTCAGAGCCTTTTGATTATAGCATCTCGTAAACATTATACAGTTGATATAGTTGTTGCCTGGTGAGGAGCATATTCTTGATTTTGAAGTCGGTTTTGTTTTGAGGCTTTCAATTTAATGTTGTGATCTTTTGCAGGTATACTGTTAATATGGTCGTCTTTTTTATTGACAAGAAATTACCAGGTTTGGACGCTTGCACATTATTCTATGTTATGCTTGTGGGAAAAATCATCTAGTATATTATGTCCATGAGATGTAGACACCTAGCCAACCAGGGCAATTAGACTCACTCTGACATGCAAGCTGAGATTACCAAAGTATTTATCTAGGCTATTGCCGTGTTAATTGAGCCACAATGAGCAATATGCGTACAAGCATGTCAGGCAAAATTTTCACGATATCCACCCTTGAGTGCAGCTTTATGCTATTGTCATGTTAAGAAGCAATGTGCTGTTGTGCTGACTCGTTTGTCCTACAGAAATGCCGGACCGTTCCATTGCATCAGCCACCATGCTGCTACCGTTGAGCACTAAAGACAAGGATGGCAGGATCAAAGAAGAAAACCACAAGCTCTTAAATGGGAGTTCTGGAGACCCTACAGATAGGGTACAGTGAACTAATCTATTTGTCCTTTGAGAGATTCTTAAATAGGACCGTTTTAAAAAAAGATGAACAGACCGTGTCAATTATGAAGATACACATAAGCATGTTAGACATATTCTTCATCAGTTGGGTCCACCTTTCACTTGCCCTATGTGCATCTCCAGTTAATTTATTTTACACAAAATTTACAGACTAGGTCTCCCTCAGAATTTATTTGTTTGGTCCACCCCCCTCCTCTTTTCAGTAAAACGTCTCTATCTACGATGTGGACATAACATGGTATCTGTAAATTGCACAGAGGCAGAGAACTCAGGTAAACGGCAAGACTCTGGAAGATGGCAATACGTTTCAAGCTGACTTTGCAACGAATGGCTCATAGATAGAGGGACTGCTTCTACACAAATGAAACGGCGAGGACCCAACCTTCAATTACAAGATTCTGTTACTTGATCAACCACTTAATTTATAAAATAGAAACCTAATTTGTATTCACTGGAATAGTGGCTCGACTATTGTGTCATTTCAGTTTATGTAAATATGTTCAACAGTTTCTCCATGATATGGTTGCATTCTCTATGGAATAATAAATGTTATCGCAAATGATGGGATTGGTTGGAAAAACAAGGCCATGGAACATGGATAATTGCGTCCAATGAGGGACAAGTTCCATGAGGAAGCACATGCACAGCACCACAGGATGGCCCTTTGACCTGCATGTGCTTAAGCCTAAATTATAGGCTCTTAGTAGCCTCCTTCCAATGAGTTGACAAGATTAATTAATTAATTGCTAGTGGATGCATCAAACATATCTTTTTCGTGAAGTGGTTCAGAATGTTTGATAATAATACAAATCTCTTCTGCTATTTTCATTGGATGATCTGCTTAACTGCTAATTATTGAGTGACAGAAGTTCTTGTCAATTAAGTGAGTAGTTAAAGATTTGATTTTTAATTTTTGTGTATGTATTAAACAATGGGGGATTCATTTTTCGTTCTCAATACTTTTAGGGAGGTCAGTTTCTTTTTCAGAATATATTTCTTATACATCCAAGAACATGAGAGGAACCGTGCTGGAAAGAGGCGCGTTAAAATTATTAGAGAACATATGAATGATGAAGGTGGGTCATGATGGAGAAATAATGTCTGTGGTTTAGGTTTGAATTAATTAATTTCTGGAAATGCAGAAATGGAAGGGCATAGACCCAAGTCCCCAGTTTGGCTGCAAGGAAAAGGGAAAGAGAGGGTCGCCTTGCAGTTGCAGAAGGGGCATCACGTGCATCTGCTGTGTTCTTCACATGTCCTCCTTCACTTCACCTTCTCTCTTTATTGATGTCAGCTGCACCCTTTGTCTTTTCAAATGAGGTATCATCCTTCTCCACATTATTGTACAATATCTTCCCTTTTTTTAATAATTAATTAATATATTAACTTATTTTATTGAATTACTATATCAGTCCCCGGCCACAGTGTTGTTTCGTGTTAGAGTGAACAATCATGTCATGTGGCCAACTCCATTCTAAATTTCTAATGCATTATTCTCATTTCTTCTCATCATGTTATTTTATCTTCATTTTCGGCTTATCAATTTGTGAAATTTTCAATCAACTACCATAAACGATTTAATTCCTTCCTTACCCTCAAACGGATTCTAATTTTCCTACGAGCAAATAAAAATCCTACCTCTTTTGTACTTAAAATAAAATTTACTTAACTAATGTGATAGATTAAGAATAATAATTAAATTAGTTATTTGTCAAAAATATACTTTGATTTTCCTAAATATCCTTTTAAATCATTTGGATTTAAACTATCCTTTCATATAAACTCTTTTAAGTTTTAAGCAATTTGGATAAATAAGGAAAATAAAATAGATTAAAATTTTATACATAGAATCAAATTTAATCCCATACTAATTATAACATTAAAGATTGAAGGTAGTATATACATATGTAGTAGAAGCCTAATAAATTTTAAAAAGTTACATGTGAACCTTCCGGAAACGATTTTGTTAAAGTTTTAAGGTATAACTTTCTTATAACTTATGGGGTGTTTGGATTTTTTTTTCAGCAGTAATTTTACAGTATATAAGTTAAGTATGTAAGAGAAATTTTATCTCATTTTACGTGAAAACACTTTTTTGAATTCATTGTAGGGATACCAGACTCCTCCTTAATCTTGTAAGATTAGGGTTCTTAATTCTTTTTCTCTAAAATAAAATGCTGCCGTAAGTGCTGATGTCGCAAACGCTTAGATCCACAATTATTTTAGTACATAAAATATGAAAAGATATTATCATCCTGGATCACTGGCGCTAATGAGATGTTAATTAATTCCAAATCACTTTGTTCGGAGGATTTGGGTATGACGAGAATGATGAAGCACGAGGGAAGATCCACTAAAAAGTTAGAAGATATCAAATTATCTTATTAAAAAAATTAGCAACTTTAAGGGATATTTGACATATAAATGCAACTATAAATACAAAGAGTTAAGTACAGATGCTGACGACACGAATGATGAAAGACAAGTCCCTCTTCAAGTACTCCACACAATTTTAAAGTAAATCACATTATTTATATGATTTATAGATAATGTGATTTGCCATGCATTTTATATTCTAAATTATTAATTAATTGCAAGTAAATTAATTAATTAAAACAACTACCTATGTTACCTAGTAAGATCTTTCCACGCCAAAGTATTATATTTGGTTCTTAATATAAGAGTTAGATGGCTATTTTGAGAATATTAAGAAAGTTAGTTAAATTTGTTAATAATTATAATAAATATGTGTTGGTTTTTCTAAATTATGCTATTTAATAATGCACATTGGGACTATTCCTTGATAAGAATGCATCAATATATGAAATCAATGGAGATTTTTTGAGAAAAAACATTATAATATTTGGGACCAAATTTAATTTCTGACTAGTTTTTATATTAAAGATTGGAGCTCGGAGATAGTGTTATTTACCACTTTGTGAATACTGGGGCTTTTAACACGTTTCATAATTCATATAAATTATCATTTATCAGTGTAGATAATTCGTATGTTACCCAGACAAATAAGATTTCATGATACGATAGTGACAATACAAATTTATTAGAATTTTTATATACTGTGTGCTTGTAGAGAGAGAGAGATTGACATTTGCTTTCCTATTACCAAAATGGACGTAAAGAGGAAATAAACATATAGAAGACCAGGTAAGTAAGATAAGGTGGATTGAATTTGAATTGACTTGAAAATGCCCCAAAACATCGGGTTCTTTATGGAATTGACCACAAAGGAGATCGCGTAAAGAGATACGCAATTATACAGACATGCACACACGTATTAATTAAAGATGGCTTGGCCACAAAAAGTCGGTCAATACTTAATGCAGAAAAGCTTAGTCACTCACTGGTGTGACTTAGAGAGAGAGAGACCAATACATTTGCTTATTCATCCTACACAAGAAGAGAACGACGTGATGCAAAAGACCATTAACAAGGGTCTCTGTGTTGTCCAGTTTTTATTGGAAGTGAGTCCCATTCATCTCCCAAATGGCCCGCCTGACTTATAAATAATGCCATCACACCCCTCCGTTGGGTCTTTTTTTCTGCTTCTGTGCTCTTGTTTTCATTCCGTTATTACATGTTCATGATTCCTTTTGGATGATCATTTGATCAGTTTCTTAGATGTGGGGATCATCATTCACTGTGAGTTTTAAATGAATCAATCTCTCACATCTCATCTTTTCTGGTATTTGTCCCTCCGAACTTAAAATGAATGATTAAAGAAGACGCGTCTTGTAATTATTATTCTTATCTCAAATATCATTTTCTGTGTTCATATTCATCACAGCGTCGCTTGTCGACCAGGAGTTTTGTAATGAATTGTGTGGTTTTAATTGAAAAAAATCCCATCACATTCCCATTGATCAATCTTTTTGGACGGACCTATTCACACTTCCCAATAACCTCTATCTTACATGGATTTTTATTTTAGAACATCGGATATAAAATATCCAGTGGATATGAGGATGAGATCCTGAGAGAGAAAAAAGAGATATATTGCTGTCGTTGTTATTGTTGTTTCTTATATGAGATCCTTATATTTCTGTCTCTTCTCGTTTTCTTGTCAGGATTACTAATTTTAATTACGATATGGCTTAGTGGGGACAGTATGTATTATGCTTCAGAGTTGAGATATTCACAATCCAATCATAAGAAAGTTAGCCATTTTGGTTTTTTTTTTTGTGCTCAGAATTCATTGCTAATCACTTGTTATTGGCGTGGCGTCTGCCAATGATATTGCCTTCAATATTTAACTTTAGTTAAATTACTATTTCCTTTTTTTTTTGGCCTTCGTTAAATTACTATTTCGAGTATTAATTTTGAGACTCTTATTGCACAAGATTATAGATATAAACTATGTAGGTGGAAATGCTTAAAGGAATCATATGTGTGTGTTTGTGTGGGGGAATAATTAATAAAGCGCGTATTATCAACTCATTATGAAAGGATAATTTTTTTTTTGGGGGTATATGAAAGGATAAAATTAAGTCATCATTTGTGAGAAAAAGGGTGCTTGAGATACCTTAAAATCAATTAAAAAAATATTTTCATGTAAGTCGAAATAAAACTCTTTTTATATATTTACTTCATATACAATAAAATCATTAATATTGACATTTTCAGGACTAGTAGTTAAGCCCATAATTGTAGGTCGAATGGGCTGAATTAAGAGAACACACCTAGCCCAATTGTAAAAGGACTGGGAACATGTTGGACTAAGTCATGCTTCGTAGATGGGCCTCCGAACATTTCGCCTTAGCATTGCTTTAAACTCTCCTAAGAATTCTTTGTAACAAAAAAAAAAAAGAAGAGGAAAACTCTTCTAAGATGGTAAGATTACCCACGAATCACTGAAGAGTATGGCAAAGAAGAAATACGACATAAATGTGTTAAAGGAATTTTATCCCAAATTACTCGAATAAAGTGTGATTGTTTCGGCGTTTCCAATTTTGCATCATGAGATTGTCGGAGAGTATATTGGTATGCAATAGATATTTTTAATTCTCCTCTTTGGCGTTGGCAACAACAGGAAAAAAAAAAAATGTCGTCTTTGGAGTTTTTCCACGTGTGTTTTGTGGTTGAAAAAACACTAAAATAACCATATTATCAATGTCTTAATTTTGGACGATTTGCATCCTTTTCATTTATTGAGCTTTTTTTTTTTTTAAAACTGTAGTTATTGCATTACATTCAAGTAGTTTAGTCATTTGGAAGAAATTGTTTGTAGTACCCTCCTATTATTGAACTTTTTCACAACATTAGCAGGGAAACTTGGGGTACATTTGGTACGACAAAAATAAAGAGAAGAAAAGAATTTTTTTAATAAATTTGATTTAAAAATTAAAAAATGAGGTTAAAATTTTTTAATTAATTTTTCTCACTTTTTTATTTTACTTCTTCTTTTTATCAAAATTTTATAACCTTACTTTTTTAATTTTTTAAAATTAAATTTATTGAAATTTTTTCTCCTCATCAATTCTCCCGTACCAAACGTTAGGTTAATTTGCCAGAAATAAATAAATTATGTTATGAACAGAAACAAATGTATCAACTATATTATTTTTAAAATATGTTTAATAGGATCTAAACCATTTTATGGGAGACACGGAGCATGATTACCATAGGAGAAGAAAAATAAGCACATAAGTGAAACCTATTTAAGAAAGTAAATCTCTCATTAAGTGAACTAATCGTTTGGGATATTATTAACTCATTTTCATGGTTCTCACATGCGCGCATAATTTAACTCAGGAGACTCCATTGTGAATCAAAATTTGACACAGAAAGTTGACCATCATATATAATTCTTCCTGCAATGGCCCAAGAACCTTTACATTTCGACGCAACATTCTACAGTTCTAAACACAAACAGGGATTGAGTCTAGTGAAAGGAACTAGTCTCTCACAACGTAGTGAATCAAGATTCAAATCCCCGCTAGGAGAGATGCTCACATTTAGTGCCCGACAGTGCTTCAAATAAGATTGCTTTTAATAAGAGAATATTTATACTTTAGGAGGGGAAAATAATAATGAAGGACTGGTCCTCAAACTGAAACCATTCATTCCCAGAGCAACTGTTTACTGTGCTTGCTTGAGCAGGATCTCTCTCCTCTCTGTTTTTTTTTTCCCCTTCTAATTTTTGCTTTGTTCCCCCCAAAACAACTTTTCTTTTCTTTTGAAATTTATAAAAAGACAGGACTGTGCCTCTCTGTTGATTAGGAAGAAGGTACATTAAAGTGAAAAAGCCATGATATGACAAAAGCAAAGACCATACAAGCAAGCAGAAAATTCAGGAACCTATGGCCATGCCAGAATCTTCGAGTTTCTGCAGAAGGTGCTGGTGGGGACACTGCTGTTGCAGCAGCAGCAGGAGCATTATTGCTATCACTTGAATGCTCTGTCACCTCCTCGTTCCCTCCATAAACATTCCGTGCAACCGAGTGGCAAATTTCACAGGTCCTATGAAAATTTTAAGGAAACAGAAACAAAACCGATGAGGTTCATTATTAAAATCAGTTGGCTTCAAAATCTGCCACTATTATAAATTACACAGAAAGACGACTTCAACAAAGTAGATATCATAACAATTTATACTATGATATCCTAGCAAAGGGTTAACTAAACAGAACAGTTCATGGTTATGATGCTCTAAAGCTTTTCAGCTCTGGTCAGTCCAGCCTGCATCTTCTATACACAATATTCCTATTCGCTGCCTTTCACTGTTGCAGGATTGATTGCCAAATGATAAAATGAATCCAAACCCGAAGACAAAGAAAAAGAAAAGTATCACGGGTTATTTGCCGTCCAAGGCATGAAATCACAAGTTAGAGAAGATTCCCAATTAAAACATATTCAGATTCTGTCCCAACGTTTTTTTTTTAAATATTTAATTTAGCCATCAAGACGTGCATTGGGATGGATTTGCGTCTCCATTAGATGTAACAACAAACGTTTGGGCAAAAAAAAAAAAGAAAAAGATGTAACAAAGTATCTTATCCCTAAGGTCCTCAAAAACTCAGAACACTATACCAAGTACCAGCACTAATTTGGATCCTTTCAATTTCTTTCAGACATTGATATGGTCAATTTCAGAGAGATAAACGCTAGATCCATGGGACCACCGGCGTCGGCAATTGTAATCCACAAAGATGACAAAGGCATTCAGTATAGAGTTACCATTAGAACAGTGCAATAAGTACGGAAATAACTAAACTTCAAGAAATGCAGATACGAACTGAACGTAAAATACTGAAAATGCAGCATCTTTGTGACACCGAAAACTTAGATGAATATGAAATCTGGATTATGCAAGTAACGATGAAAGATTTTAAGTTGTCAAGAACCACTGCAACTCGAAAGTTCAAACTGTGTGGTAGAGACTCTTATTGTCATGTCTACCAGGAGGCATATCATAAAGGAATGGAGCAAGTAGAAGGACGAGGGGTGCAATCTGATACCTTCTTTAACAGAGATAGAGACAAATAAAAAGGAGCAACATAGGATTCATAAACATGGGATCTGTAATTAATGGATTAAAAATTTAGGGGTCCAAGAATCATTATGCCTCAAAAGTTTAAATGTCAAGTGATGACCCGTGAATTTGTCCAATCAGACAGGACAGGTGGCATATGATGAATGAATAATGTGAATAGAAGGATGACGGAGACAGTATAATCTCATCTTTACTAGAGATAGAGAGAAGCAAAAAGAAGCAACATGAGATTCCTAAATTTCAAAAAAGACGCAGCAACAGGGAATCCCACTGTACCCAGACATGTCAGTGACTCAGCAGGTCTGGCTGATGGCTTTACGCCTTTCTTTTTCCATCATCATCTGCTTTTAAATAACGTAATCTTCTTTAACTTTTCCTATCCTTGAAGAAATAAGGGAGCCCGCCTTGACCCATTGCATCCTTTACACCTCTTAAAATATGTGTCATCCAAGCATTTTTCTTCCTCCCATCATCTTCTTTAACTTAATTTAATTTAATTAATTAACAACCCGACACAATCTCAGATTCCAAACTATTATACTCTGGTCGCATATTTTGGCTTTGTTCTACCTGTCAATCATTAATATCAGAGCTTCAAAACATAAGAAACTTGAGTGCCGGTGAATTTGTTCAACAGCAGGGCAAGAGATAGGTTATTAAATACATTGCAGACATACCATTGCCTGGATGTACTAACAATGAAGGGGTCAGATGTTTTGGGATCTATGATCCCCCCCAATTTCGAACCCTTCCAAATTAGGAGATTCGGAATGGGATAAGTTGCTGTTAACGATTGTTTACTTTTTTATCCTCTCGGCTCTCCTTACTTTAATTTTACAAGGAGGATGACATTAAAAGCTCAACCTTTTAAACACGCATTCCTCAGATGACGATACAGTAACTTTACTACCAAACAACGTTCATTTTCAAACAACCCAAAATGGAGAGGGATGTTACCAACCCTGATGCTCCAAGTTTCGACACTACAATAGAAAGAAAAAACAAGTTAGGTTTTACTCACCTATTCCCTTTGATCTTGAACCAGGCCTCAGCGCAGTGTTTGTGAGCAGCAGCTAAATCATCCTTACAAGAGCATCCCAATTCAATTGGAACCCCGGACTCATCATTGCTATCACTCTCCAAACCCAAGTGACAAATCCTACAATCTCTCTCTACTTTGGCCAAATGCACCTTAATTTCAGGATCCCCACTTTCAATTTCAACTTCCACCGAACAATCAGTCACAGAAGAAGCTCTCCTAGAATCAGCAACACACCTAACCTCAGAATCAGAAACGCAGGCGAAACTACAATCGTCGTATGAACCACCGTAGGTAGAATAGAAATGAGAGTAGCAGGACCCATCGTCGGCGTCGGAGAAGCACACGCTCCCGTCGGCGCTGACATCACTTGCGACCACCGAACGATGGTAACCTCCTTGCTCTAAATCCAGATGGGACATTTGTATGTTCGACATTTTCTCAGACCCACAAGGGGCAAAAATAAATCGAAAATGAAGTTTTTCAAAGCATGGAACAGAGTATGAAAGAAATGCGCCTTCAGTTCATTCTCTCTCTTATAGAAGAAGAAAAGCGGGGGAGAAAGAGAGAAGGGCTAAAGAATTCGGAATTGGATTAGGTGATCCTTGTACTCCAATAATGCTTCACCCCAAAAAAAAAGACATTAAGGAGAAGGGAATAATTTGAGGCTCGAAGCTCAAGAATGCTCACTTTAAACAGAGAAGTGGTGGTGAGAAGAGTCTTAAGGAGGCAAAGAATGGTCTACGAGACAGAGACTGTTGCTCTTGCAGAAGACATGGACAATGACCCTGCGGTCTGCGAAGGAAGAAAGAAACGTGCAGTGATATCACAAATAGAGTCTGAGAGATTATAAAAGAGGTGGGACATTAAACCTGGAAGAAGATTAAACATAATCGGATAATCCCAAGAACAATAATTATAAAGCTACATTGATCCTGTCCGTTGATGCGTGTCGATGTTGGAGCTTTCGTAGATAGGGACATTGATGCAGAATCTATGGTTAAGATTGCACGTTGCTTCGTTCCGCGCTTCAGCACACTCTATATACATATCCTCCTTATTATAAGACCCTATTTGACTTTTTATTTGATCCTAATTATAAGACCCCAATCCATTTTGTCTCTTATATTTATGTATTTTTTTTCAAGATAATCCTTCTAATAATGATAGTTTTAGCCAATATACTTAATTAGCAAGGATATTTTAAGAATGACAACACTTATTTATTATAAATAACCAACTTAACTTACTTCCTTAATCTCTTCAAATAAGTCAATTGGGTCTTATAATTAGGACCGGAGGAGTATTACATTTAGAGTTTTATATGTTGAATTTTAAAATATTATAAATATGTGCTCTTATAATAATTTTCACTACTCTTGTAATAATTTTTATATGTCAAAATCTGTTAAAATAACTTATTTATTATTTTAATACTCAATAGTTATTTTTTAAATCATTTTCCTAATATATTTCTCAGCCCAAAAGGGAAAAAATTGGAAAAAAAAAATTCCAACTATGAGTCAAAGACTCAAAGTTGATATCCATTTAATTGGCCCCAAAAAAAGAATGTTGATACATATTAATTAACCTAGATTATTTCGGAGTAGATTTCATTAATTATAAAGTAAGCACTCTTGCTATTTAATTTTTTTTTCAAGGAAATAAAAGTAGTCCTTTTTTATTGTTTGTCAAAGTTGGAAAATGATTGGGTTGCCTTTCAGTGTAATTCTATGGTAAATCTGATGAGACAGCAATTTATTACTTTATAATATACTCTTATGATAATAAACATAAGATTTTTATACATACTAATATAAAGGTTTTATATTTAGGACCGGAGGAATACTAACTACTACTATGTAATTTAAAATTAGATGAAAAGTCACGAGAAATTTCACGAGATTTTTCAAATGAACTTCATGTGATTTCTGAACGAACGATATTGAAATCTGAAAGTAACTTCCACGAATTAGACGACTTTGCAAAGACCTTTTGCGTGTGAAAAGATCAGTTTTCTTTGTTCACAACCTAATCAATGGGCCGTGTTGACTTTTAAACTGTTAATAGGATAGGTTAAGAATATAGAGTAAATCTTTTGGCCCCAAAAAAACAAAGAATATAAAGTATGTGAAACTCATTTATTTTCCGTAGTTTCTGAGTTTCCTAGTTCTTTCGGTTTTTTACCTTCGGGTCATGTGGATTCCCAAGTTAAAATAAAATAAAACGAATGTGTGAGACTCATTTATTTATTTTATACTCTACATAGGCTTTACACACACACACACACACACACAAAGCATTCGTTTTTGTTTAAGTTAATAAAAAGAAGTCAGCTTGAACTTGAAGCGTGTTGTTTGGGTCAAAAGAAAATATGAAAGTAAAAAAGAAGATTCCACGTTTAGGCAAAGCATCTTAATTGACAACCATGGGACTCACATGCTAGACACCTTCGTCTTCTTTCTTCTTTTACATTTCCCTGTTTTTTGGATTTTTTTTTTCTTGGTTTCTTTTGCCCAATGGACACGTTGATTTCCAACTTAGAAGACCCGCTTCAGTCAAGTTAATCCCCTTTTTTTAGTCTCCCCCCCTCCAAATGCATAAAAGGGATGGTAGAACCACTGCAGAAGATTATTATTATTTTTTTGGTAGAGAACCACTACAGAAGAATTGATATCTCCTCTTTTAATTTTTACACACATATATTCTAGGAAAAATTGGTATAAAAAAAAATCCTTGGTTGAAAATTTAATTAGCTAAAAGGACCTGAATTTGAGCAAGTGTAACTACGATATGTGAGTGCAACATATCTTCCGCTATGTGTAACATATCATCAATGATGTGCAACAATTATGAATACAGAAGTCATTTGCACACAACAGAAGATATGTTACACACATGGATCATACTTATACGTGTTTAAATTCAGGTCCTTTTAACCAATTAAATTTTTAAACAGGGATTTTTTTTTTACCCATTTCCCTTATATTCTTGTTGTACATAGATTAAAAAAAATCCTTTAAAAATATCAAGTTGGATGTAAGGGGACGAAAGTACCCTTGGAACCCATGTCTACAAACTTTTTGCTTTTTCCTCTCTCTTTCTTATGCAATGAAATGGAATACAAATCTTTTGCTTCTCTCTTTGTCAAACTTCAAACCCCACCGCGTCACCAACAACCCAAATTGTCTAAGTAGATGGTAAGAAATGATTGGGAATCTCTTTGGAAAGGAGAAGAAGGTGCAACAAACTCACTTCCAATCTAATTAAAGAATCATTTAAGAACTAATTCGTCCTTAAGCTTAATAATGACACTACTCAAGGGATCACCTAAACCATAATTTCACCTTCAGAGGAGCTAGTACACTTGATTCTTCCAATGCTCCAATCTCTTTCCTTTCTTTCCTCGATCATATCTATCAAAGGTTAGTCTGCCAGAGACTTCATATATATACACATAGATAATGCTACTTCTGATCATTAATATAAAAACTAAATAACTAATTTGAAGATGTTAATTAAATTAGTTGAGTTGGTTCTTTGTAACAAATATGTATTGACTTTTCTAAACTATCATATTTAATCAATGCAAGCGTTGGAGCGATCCTTGGTGGAAATCCACTGCATTCAATAGAGATATTTTAAAAAGAAAAATAAATAAATTTAAGAGACATAGTGAATTGAAATCTTGTATCTAGGACTAAATTCAACCCCCAACTAGTTTTTATATTAAGAAATTCTTTCGTATGGAGTGTTATATTAGATAAAAAAACAAAACCCATATTTCCGAACTGATTATTATTGTTTCAGTGCAGAACTGTAGTGCTCAAATTTAACCAATATTTAATTAAGGTAGCAGGTGAGTAGGTACTATATAAGATGGTATAAATGAAATGCGGTAAGTTTGTGATTTGTGAACATACAAGATATGAATGCAGTAAATTTGGGTAACATTGCAGGGTAGTTGTTGTAAGGACATTATATTGCCATGGGCAACCAATGATGCAACAATGTAAATTTTCTGTTCATTAGTACTCTATAGAGTAATGCAGGCCATATATTATTCTGTACTGGAGGCTCTCTCTCTCACCCACACACACGTACGTGCATACGTATGTATGCAAATAGCTTGCAGAAAGTTGGCGTGTGGCAAGACAAGAAAGTTAAGAAGTTCTCTGTTATATAAGGCCCACAACTCACTGTTCTAAATCTCTCTCCCTGAAGCAGGCTAACTGTTGAAACACAAAGGAAAAGGATTTCCTGTTGTGAACTTGTGATGATGTGAAGATACTGAGAAAATAATACTCCATCCGTAGAAGCTAGTTAAGGGATTTATTTAACTGTTCAGCATGAATCAGTCAATAAAGTATATTTGGAAGCACTCGCCTCTCTTTTGTATATATACTTGAATGCAATGACTTTTTTGTGGTCTCGGGACATGCTCCATCATCAAGTCGTTTAATTTGCCAGATCTTAGATCAGTTCGCGCATGTAAACTTTAAAATGTAGGCACGGTAGGAAAATATAAGATAGTCATTCCAAATCTTCCAAAAGATACATACTTGCATATAGGATCCTATGAAGAGGACTTATATGAAGGTACCTCAACAACCGATGATCTAAATACAATCCAAACAAGTTAACTTGTATATATAGCAAAGTTCACAAAGCTATGCCTGCCAATATAGCTTTTGTCTTTTGTGGTCCGTTTGGCACGAAATATTAAAAATAAAGGGATACAAATTGATATTGAGATTGAGAAAATATATGAAAAGAGTATTTAACATAAAAGATTTTTTATTATATGAGATTGGACAAACCCATATACGTGGGATTAGAGAATACCATAGGAGGAGGTGGTATTCTCCAATCCCACCTCAATAGATTTGCCTAATCCCGTGTAACAAACAATTATTTATATTAAATACTTTTTTAATGATTTTTTTTCAATTGCAATCCAAATTCCTATCGTTTATTTTTAATGTTTTGTAGCAAACGGGACCTTAGAGTTTTGGTCATTAGCTGAGGTTGAACAAATCTTGATTCTGTCCAGAAATTTTAATTGTCTCAAATTTACATATAATGGTCAACCATAGTCACTCCACTGAATTATCCATACTGCTATAACATGATCTCTCAACTAGCTAGAGTCAACTACAAATTAAAATCTGGCCGACATGGTTTATATATCCTTGGAAGTGAAACAGCTTAGGCAACGTTTATTGCTTCATTTGAATCAAACATTCATAATTATGATCCATCAGAGGTTCGATGATATCCCTGAATTACCCATTGATTTTGGGCCTATCAGATTATATATGTAATGTGATTTATGACACTATTTCTAAGGCCCGTAAGCAATCCCCTTTCAAAGTGGTTATGTCTGATATGAGAGCAGAGAAATTTCTAAATCTGGAATTAAAGGAAAGAGGCTTTTCCTTGTTTGGTGTGTTGTTCAAAACTCACAGTCACAGCTACATTATATGCCCCATTGCTATGTGCAGATCGGAAAGAACATGGCTTTGATGGATACACAGATACTACACAATACTTGTATCAAGCGTCGTAAAAGGAGCAGGGGGGAAACATAAACCTCTCTTATATTTAATCAAAATTGTACAAACTTTTCATTAATTTTAAAAAGGGATAATTAATATATAAGTCCTTATAGTTTCAACTGATTTTTAATCAGGTCCCTATAATTTTTTTTCTTTTTATCAGATCTTTATACTTTCATATATTTTTAATCAAGTCCTTATAATTTTTTTTCTTTTTATCGGGTCCTTATTGTTTTACTTTGTTTTTAATTAGGTCCTTGTAGTTTTTATTCTTTATTTTACAAATAATAAAATTTTAAAAATAATAAATTATTGTAACAATCTTATGTTAATATTCTTTTAAATTTTTAGTTAAACAAATATATTATTTATTTATTTATTTTCAATTCGAATTTTTATAATTATAAAATTCAAATTATAATAATAAATTTATCTAAAATTAAAATATGATTATAAATAATTTATATTTAAGTATAATTATTATTCTGATTATTTATTAATTACTAAATGATTATATTAATTATTTTGTCCAATTATATAATTATTAATTTAAAAATAAAATTAATTTTAAAGAATAAAGTTAATAAATAATTTTTCAAAAACTACAAAGCACCTAATTAAAAAATAAGTGAAACTATAAGGACCTAATAAAAAGAAAAAAAAATAGAAGGACCTAATTAAAAACACACGAAAGTAAAAGGATCTGATAAAAAAAAAATTTTATAAGGACCTAATTAAAAATCAGATGAAACTATAAGGACCTGGAGATTAATTATCCCTTTTAAAAATTTACGCATGCTTCTTTTAAAATATTGAATTTATTGAAATTATATAAATATATCTCTTTTATTTTTAAATTATTAAAATAATATGCCTGCTTTCCTTCTTAACTTTCTCTGCCTGGTTCTTTTATAATGGGTTCTAGATCATTGAATTGAAAGATTCGTCTGCATCAGCACCGTGGAGAACACACAAATTAAACTACATTTCATTGAAATTAAAAAAAAAAAAAGTCAAGTCAATTTTCATTTCGTTCAATATTGATTTATTCATCACATCCAACCCCTTTCATGGAAAACGCACCCCTCAAAAACTTCTTCATACATATTCTATGCAAAATAACAGAAGGTTAGAAGCTTCTATAACACACACACACACTCTCTCTCTTTCTCTATACACACACACACTACTTCCTGCTCTTAATATAAGATTTCATTTGACTTTATTGTGCTTCTAAATATAAGATTCCCAATCCACTTTATCTATTATATTTATCTATTTTTTTCAAAGTAATCATTCTAATATACATAATCAGTAAGGATATTTTAGAAAAGACAACACACATTTATTACAAATAACTAACTTAATTTATTTTCTTAATTTATTCAAATTAATTATTTAACTCTTTTATTTAGGATCGGAGGTAGTATATATATAGGGCGAGATGGAAGCTACCAATGCTCCATGTATGTTTTGAAGGCTGAGCTGCGTCAGGATGCCAAGGAGGGGTCTTATGTGATTGAGTCACCCTCTTAGACGTTGGTTGTTCTTTGGGCATTTAAAAAAAAAAAAAACTGATGCTATGGTGCTCTGTGTGTGTGTGTGATATTTTATTGGAAAAAAAGTGTATATATATGATATTTCAAGCATTCACTTTAATTATTTTTTAATCATAACATGTTCAACAAGTCATCAAATATTATATTAGTACCAAACTTATCTTAATTAACTCATTCAAGTGATGGTTATTATGAAGGCCGAAACACTATTCCCCCACCCACTCTATATATTAAGCGTCAAAATTGGCGTCTAATCATTTTTAAAATATATATTCTTAATTAAGCAACTATAAAACATTCATTTACCGAATGTTGCTCAACTAAATTCGTTACCGCCGGATTTGTGTTTCCTTCCTTTCTATATGTCGTCCTTCATTTCGTATCTTTTAGGTGATACTGAACAAGATCTTGTCATTTCCCTTTTCTTTAATTTAAAATATCATTAATATATTGTATAAAATTTATATGATCTTATGACCTAATTTCAAGTGGCAACAGATAGGTGAGTGTTGAGCAAGCCTTTTAAGTTTTTAATATGAAAAATATATATAATTTTTCACTATTCAAACAACTGTAAATTAACAGTGATTAATTGGGACTAAAATTACAATATAATAAATAGAATAGATTAGATTGCTTTCAAATTTCTTTGCTTGCAGCTGAACTCAGGCTGTAATAAAAAAACTGTTTTTTGACAGAATTATACCAAACAAAATGTTTGTACATTAAATATATCAAAATTGTGACGTGATCAAATGAGACTTTTGAAATAGAAAGGATACAAAACGTATAATTTAACCCTCTCTGTATCGTTCCAAGAAACAAAACATAGTTTATTTATCTGAATATTGTATTGTATGCTAAATTGAAAGGCTGTATTAATTATGTTGCTGAGTCCTCTATCAGAAGCATATTGTTCCCGTGTTTCGTACAGAAGGGAAGTAGAAAGAGAAACAAACAACAATTTAAAATGCCAAAAATATATTATATATCTTCCACTATTTTCAATAAGGCTTTTTTTTTTTAAAACCAGAACACTATTTTCAATAAGAAGAATTAGTAAGGTGACCTGGAAAACAGTAACCTTGGACTCCAAGCTTTGAAATGTATATGTTCATAGTCTATATAGTAGTATAGCTCAAGTTGATGATTATTAGGTAACCGAAGTTAAAAGGCGATGAATGATGTTTTTAATAATGAAAATGTTTTGGCATTGTCGAAAGTGTCTATAATCACAGATATAGTAGGTAATTAAAATTTTGTATTTGAATTGGAGTTTATATTGAGTTGATTTCCAATGATATGTATTTCTGGATTTGACAATATTAATTAGGAGAATGGCAGCTTTAATCTATCAATACATAATAATATTTGCCTTATGAATTATCATGATTAATAGTCCATTATAATTTCTTCTAAAAATAATAATAGTCGCCAATAATTATTCAGGGACAATCAATGAACAAACAGATATTTTATCAGGATTATTTTTATGGTAAAAATTGCATAAATATGATCTCTGAAGCGCGGGTAAAGTCAGACGCAAGAAATCATATATAATATAATATAATAGTATGGAAAATTTTTCATAGTCAAACTCAAATCAATTGTCTATTATATCTATTCTATCGTAAATAAATTGGGTTTAAATGTCAATCAAACTGGGTGTATGTTTCAACATTTTGAATTGTTATATATGTCCAATCCTACACATAAGGCCACTTCAATTGATCCTTAATTCCTTATTCCTCTTTCTGCTTTCTTAATAAACTATATCAATTTTTTATTTAAAAAAATTATGAATTAAAGGGTACTTTTGAAATGAAACAATTGTAAAAAAAAATGTATACTTAATTAAATCTAACTAATTTTCTTGATTTTCAAAAAGTATTTAGTGAAATTTTATAAAAACGAGAGGAGATCGAGTATGTGGTAATGAGTTTGTGTGTTGTTTTTTTTTTTTTTGGCCTGAGAGTTTGTGTGTTGTTAAAGAATATTTATTTGGAAATGTCTTTTACTTTGTTGTTGCAGTAGTTCGTTTTTGGTGGTGCCATTTTCCTTTAAAAAAAAATATTTGGAAACCAAAGAATATTTATAACTTTATAATAAACTCGAAAAAAATGAGACCATTGTTTAACTTATTAGTTATGGATTTCGGTTTTTGTGACGTCAATTAAAGTAGATACTCCCTCGGCCGGTCCAATCCAACTAAGCAATTTTTTAAAACTATAAATAAAAATTAAAAATCACCAAAGTTAGTATAAATTTGCTTTCCCTTCACACTTGAGTTTCCTTCCGATCCAACTAAGCAATTATATTTTTGAAAACTATACCATAAGTAATTTTTTCCACATTTCGATATTAACCTAGGTAATTCTACTAATTTCAAGGCATCATTAGTATTAATCAATACGACTTTTAAAAAGTACTCCTCCGATTCTTAATATAGTACTTACTTATTGAATTGATTTTGATCCTAAATATAAGACCTATTTCTCATATTTATCAATTTTTTCTAAATTACTCTTATAGATACTCCATCAACCATAATCAAGTAGAGAAATGATGAAGGATATTAAGAAAGATGATTATGGTGTTTTAAAAAAAAAAGTCATATTTTGATAATTAACTAACTTACTTAACTTCTTTAATCTAATCAAATTAGTTAAATAGGTCTTATATTAAGGACGGAAGAGTACAAGACTCATTATTTACAGGTTAAACGCCGTGATTCTCTTGATTATTTTTTTTTACATATATTTTAGGGATAAAACTCAAACATACTATGGACATAGAATGTGCTCGGATCTATAGTTTGTTTGGAACAAATAATGAAATAAATCAAATAAAAATCATATTAAAAAATTTTGAGGCCTATACGAACTTTACAATATAATAAAAAAGTTTTGAGATACTTTTTAACTTTGAACTCCAAAGAAATTCAAACATCTGCGAGGGTAAAATTTTGATGAGCCATAATAAAGTATTAAATTGACCCAGACGTAACATCAAATAAAGGTTATACTCGTTCTTAGTATTTATCCTCGTGCAATTTATAACTCTTTTATTCTGATCTTCACCATGAAACAGCAAGCACTTGTAAACCTTCAAAACCTCGGAACAGGTCTTGGTGTGCTGTACTGTGTCCTTATTAGTTTCAGCAAGCATTATTAGAGGTCATCAACTACTACGAACTTAAGCTTAACTAATCTTGAAAGGGTAAAAAGAAGAAAATAATAAAATTCCGAGGTTGACTTGTCATATTTGTTGTTCAGCAGAGATAAAACCTTCACCCTTCTTAATCCTTCATGAAAGTCCACTGGATCATTATTTTAATACACACCCTACGTAAACACGCAATCCTGCAGGAAGACACAGTCTCTCTGACTATCTATATCTCCCCCTCTCGTCACTATATATATCTGCATGGATCAATCCATAAACTTGCGACCTTGCCTGGAGAGAACACAGAAACAGGCTCACGTATTTGATCTTTCAAATATATTCTTTGTATTCCTTTCTTTCTCATAACGCAAGGTTTTTCCTTGTCTTTAATCTCTTCTCCTTCCCAAAATGAAGGCTTTTCTTGTGTTTTCATCACTCTTTGCCCTCCTAGCTTCCTCCTTCGCATCTGCAGCTATAGTGGAACACTCATTTACTGTAAGTAATATTGTTTCCTCCGTCTTTATATAAGCTGCTTCTGATATCTAAAGATCGAGGATACATAAGCACGGTGCATGCAAGGTGGGGTACTGAAATTTTGAATCTTTTTAGGGAATTAATACGTTTTATGGGATTAATTGCAGGTGAAGAACTTCAATGTGACTCGTTTATGCAACACACAAACTATAACTGCAGTTAATGGCAGGGTTCCTGGACCCAGAATTGACGTACGAGAGAACGACACTTTGGTCGTTCATGTGTTCAATGGTTCTCCCCATAACGTTACTATTCATTGGTAATTAAGCTTTTCAACCACACACCTACATGCCGATTTCAGCAGAAGAAGATGTTGTCACTTTATAGTATGATTTGATTGATTTCAAAAGTTTAAGACTCGCTGCAAAATAGTTTACTAATTTCCATATAACGAAAACCCACCTCATCACCAAACAACTACATATCATAGAGTTGGTTCACCTGCAAGGGACATATATATGCGGCTACGCAGACTTTAGATTGGTTGAACAATTATTATACTTTTTGGTAAGATTTGAAAGCAAACGAGATCTTGAGATTGAAATAATTAGCAACTACAGATTTTTGGCAAACTATTTCTATTTGTGTCAATTACATGTCATTAATTGAATAAAGATTTATATACTTGTACTATATATGATATACGTAAGCAGTAATTGTTTACTGATAAGGTATAATTGAAATGCAGGCACGGGATATTTCAAATAAGGAGCCAATGGGCAGATGGTCCAGAATATGTAACTCAGTGTCCTATTCGACCAGGTCAAAAGTATACCTACAGATTCACAATCACAGGACAAGAAGGAACTCTTTGGTGGCATGCCCACTCTTCTTTTCTTCGTACTTATGTCTATGGTGCTCTCATCATTCGCCCCCGACATGGTTGCCCTTATCCTTTTCCTAAGCCTCACAAGGAAGTCCCCATTCTCCTAGGTATCTCTCTCTCTCTATATATATGTATATATATTAATATATATCAGCACTGTTCTTGATTTCCTTTTTATTTCAAAAAGTAATTAAAGATCAGGCTTTTTTCTTGGGTCCGAAAAGTTGTCATTCTAAATTACCATTGATAATCGCGTCAGGTGAGTGGTGGAAGTCTGATATTAACCAAATATTCAACCGAATTCAAGTCACCGGCGACCTAGTTCCTCCGTCTGATGCTTTCACAATCAACGGCTTTCCCGGCGATCTGTATAATTGCTCTCGAGATCGTACGTCATTCTCCTTATATTTTCATCCATTATTAGTTTCAGATCCTAAACATCCGTGCTCATGGTTCGTCATTGTTTTCAAAATAAATGCAGATGCTTTCAAGTTCAAGGTGAAGCAGGGGAGAATATACTTGTTACGCATAGTCAACGCCAATCTCATCTCACAGATGTTCTTCAAGGTGGCCAATCACAAGTTCACAGTCGTCGCCGTCGATGCTGGATACACAACTCCCTACGTCACCGATGTGGTGGTCATCGCCCCCGGCCAGACCACCGACGTTCTCCTGAAAGCCGACCAGCCAGTGGGATCTTACTACATGGCCGCTTCCGCATACGTGACCACGCAAAACATAGGATTTGACAATACGACAACGAGAGGTATTGTCGTTTACAAGGGAGCTTCCAAGGCAACTCCTCCTTCGATGCCGACGCTCCCCGCGTTCAACGATACCCGGACGGCCCACAAATTTTACACGAATCTCACTGGGCTTGTTGGTGGGCCTCACTGGACTGACTGTCCCCAGGAAGTGGACGAACAAATGTTCATCACTGTTGGGCTGAATTTGGACTTCTGTGGAAGGAATCGCACGTGTCTGGGCCCATCAGGGTTTCGATTCTCTGCGAGCATGAACAATGAGTCGTTTGTGATCCCGAGTGACAAAGGGTCGTCGATGTTGGAAGCATTCTTCAACAACAAGGAAGGTGTGTACACTAGAGATTTCCCAAACAATCCTCCAGTATTCTTGGACTTCACGAACCCAAACATAAGCTTCGACTTGTCCAAGGTATTCGCGCCGAAATCGACAAAGGTGAAGACTCTGAAGTTCAATTCGACGGTGGAGATTGTGTTTCAGAACACAGCTTTTGTAGGCAGAGAGAACCACCCAATGCACATTCATGGGCTGAATTTCTATGTATTGGCTCAAGGGTTTGGAATGTTCGATCCGAGCAGAGATAGGAGAAAGTTGAATATGGTGAATCCTCAAATGCGTAATACTGTTGCAGTGCCCACAGGTGGATGGGCCGTCATCAGATTCAAAGCCAAAAATCCAGGTATTAGATTTATAACTAATTTAACTAATTTTTTTAAAATTTTTTTTTAATAAATTATAAAAAGTATTTTGTATTTTACATTGATTGAGATTAAATTGAAGTTTATTCTGTTGACAGGTGTATGGTTTGTGCATTGCCATATAGATGCACACTTGCCATGGGGGTTAGATATGGCGTTTGAGATAGAGAACGGACCCACTCCTGAAACCACACTGCCTCCACCACCTCCTGATCTCCCCATCTGCTAGTTTTTCATTTTCAATTATTATTATAATTTTTTTTTATATTATATCTCCAAACTTATTTATAAGAGACAATTTTAATTATAAGTTATTTCTTGCAAATAGATCTGGAGGTGGTATTTGTTTTCCACTTTATTCTTGTTTGATATTAGGAGATTTTTCTCATTTACTTAATTACTTGTAGTCTATGATTTAAATTAATTTAAGCGGGGGATTGTTCATCCCATGTGTAATAACTCCGGCCCATCTCTGGATGGCACGTGATTGCAATTATTTTTCACTATGGAATAAATTTTATATATATCCATATGTATTATGTTAGCATCAAATTTCTTTCTATTTTGCTTCTTCAATTTTCTGTGCAATAAATACCTTGCCCTCTTTAATTTCATTTCCATTTTTTGTAATACATCTTGCATTTTAAATAAATAAAGTAGAGAGATAGAGATTTTTTTTTCATTTTCGAGCCAAAAGGTTGTGCCATATATTCTAATTTATATATATATTTTTATAAAACGTCCGTCGTGAGTTTAAATACATATTTTTATGCAAAAAGTATTTAAAAAATCAAAATAGAATGCACTCATGATAGATTAATAAAAATCTACATACAGAATATGGCGCATCCGGCACCGAATGTTTTCATAGAACATGCATGGCATAGAGAATATTTCTGTTTAATATTAATATCCCCTCTGCGTTAAAAATATATTTAAGAATAATATTTTTTGGGGCCTTCCCTTTTATAGGAACAAACCTTTTGTTCTTCACATTCAACACTATAGCGTGCGTACAAAACACATCATGACAAAAGTTACACGCAACTTATGAAATGGAAGAGGGGAAAAAAAAAACGAAATAAGTTTCACATACTTACTTCATATTTTGTTAATTATACTACCTCCGATCCTAATTATAAGAGCTAGTTGACTAATTTAAGGAGATTAAGGAAGTAAGTTGAGTTAGTTATTTGTCCTAAATAACTGTTGTTTTTCCTAAAATATCCTTACTAATTGAGTGTATTGACTAAAACTATTATTGTTAGAAGGGCTACTTTGGAAAAAAATGTATAAATATGAGAGACAAAGTAGATTGGGGTCTTATATTTAGGACCAAAATAAAAGTCAAATATGGTCTTATATGAAGGATAGGAGGTAGTAATTAAAAAGCTGCTTTGAAAGATTCTATCACCGTTCCAAACCAGGATATAAAATAACCTATGATAATCCTCATCAATTTGCTTCGTTGATCTTTCAAAACAAGCGAATCACTATAATATGATGAGCACGTATCATCTGCGAGAGCTGGCTTCTAGACAAAAACTTTTGTCGGCAACGTATATCTGGGGAATGTTCATGTGAGACAGCATGGCATCCCATAGTATATTCGACCATTTCTCCTCCGCTGTCGTTTAAGAGATCAGTCCCAAAAGATTAATTAATAATTAATAAATTATAGAATAAATACGACCGACCATCTCAGGCTAGCCTGTCGTAGTATGAAGTTGCCACTTGAGTAAGGTTAAGTTTGGTCTCTTTTTCAGGAAATGATAACTGAAATTAAATGAGCTTTCTGTGGTGTCGAATTGCATGTTTGGTATGGATTAAAGAAATAAAATATTTGAACATAAAATTTTGTAGAATAAGAAGGTAAAAGATCCAAATATCCTTTATAATAAAATAATAATAATTATAAGTGGTTGGAATAGCTTTTCAAAAGTAATTTTACGGAGTTTGAGGTAAATATGTGAAAAAAATTTTATTATATGTTTGGTATGGATTAAAGAAATAAAATATTTGAACATAAAATTTTGTACAATAAGAAAGTAAAAGATCCGAATATCCTTTATAATAAATAATAATAATTATAGGTGGTTGGAATAGCTTTTCAAAAATAATTTTACAGAGTTCGAGGTAAATATGTTAAAATAATTTTATTTCAGTTTGCATGAAATACTTTTTTAAAGTGATTATGAGGGTTCCCAAATGCCCTCTTAAATTAACAAAACCAGTTGAGCTTAGTGAAAATTGACTTTTGTTTTCAGTACCTAAGGAAGGTTAATCTTTGCCTCCAAAAAAATGATATCAGTCTAACAAAAATAAATCTTTTGGTAAAAAGAAATCTAATAAAAATAAATCAAATTATAAAAAGGATATGCGAGGCATATAAATAATCAGCCTAATAACATAGTTTAATTAATTTATTTTATTAATATCAGAGGGTTGTATTATGTGCTGTGCCTTCAGAGGGTAATCCAAATGTTGCGTCTAGAAGAGTAGATCATTCTTTCATGAATATCACTGGCAAGTACCAACAAGAGAAACAACCAGCAATTTCAATGGAAAATAAAAATCACCTTAATTTTCAATGAGAGAAGAAGCCGTCCCAAGTATGAATTAGTAAGACCTAGACCAAAACAAACCTTGTACTCCGAGCTTAAATTTGAGTCTCTAGCATAAGCATATGTTAAATCATCTAATTACAGTTCAAATTTAATATTCATTTGTCTTTGACTACACAAATTTATCATTTAACTAATGATTAATCCCCATGAAAATAATCAAAACTAGGCACCAGTTGGCGTTAAAAGGTGATGCAAGGTGATTTAGAATGAAAAGCTTTGAATTTGTCAAAAGGTTATATAGTAAAAGACTGGCATTTGATTTAAATTTTATGGAGGAGCTGACTTCCCTATGATGTGTGACTTTGGATAGTCAATAGATGGAATAGAAGAAAGCTATTGCCACTTGTGCTTAATATAAAAAGTAGTTAAAAAGTTAGATTTAGTCGTAACTATAAAATCTCAATCTTTTTGGCCTTCCAACTTTGTAATTTTTTTTTTGAAATATTCTTATTGATTGTAAAGGTTCCCATTGAAGGATAGTTTCAAAGCATGTAATTAAATAGGATAGTTTAAGAGAAGCAAATACACACGTCTTATAAATAATTGTAAACTAATTTCTTTGATATCTTTAAATACCAGAGGATAGTTTTCTTGTTGACAATAAATGTTTGGCATGGATTTATCTAATTAAAAGTCAAATATATATAATTTCTCCTAAAAATTAAAATAGTCAATTACTATTAATGACAATACAACTAAACCTCAAACCCAAAATGCTACTCCCTCCGTTCCTTATTATAAGAGACATTTGATGCTTATGGCATGTTCCTATATATAAGAGACACTTACAAGTTGTCTCTACTTTTTTATGTTGATTTACTATTTTACCCATATTTATTATTTCCAACTCATACTCTCTCTCCCTCCCACTTCTCTTTCTTTTAATAATTTAATTGTTCTCTCTCATGTTCTCTCTCCTTATTAATGAGGGCATTTTTGGAAAAAAATTATACTTTTTACACATTAATTGTTCTTAACTAATTTTAACTGTTTTTTTGATCAACGTACTTCGGTTATTTGTCTCTTATAATAAGGAACGGAGGGAGTATTAATTAAGAAGGAAGTTTCACCAAATGGCATAACCAATCTGAACATACTAAGGAGATACCGACATAGAACCAGAAGATCCATTTTTCGATTAATAGTTATGGATTTTGTTTGTTGTGATGACGTAAATTAGACGTGGATATCATCTCACATTTTATATATATATATATATATATATATATATATATATTCATCAAAGTCTCATGTGGACGAATTCCCAAAGCAATGACCTTCTGCCTTTGTAGCAAAGGCAAGTCATGACCTTGCTGTATCATTGATGAAACATTCAAAGAGAATTCGGATAAACTTAAAAAAAATCATGTCAACGGCTATAAAAATTATCAGGATGACCCAAACAAATCGTGACACAACATATTTGATTGAAATATAAAATGGGGAAAAATTAACAAAAGATTCAATACCTTCTAAATTTTGATTTATTTAAGCCTTGAAGATAAAAAAATCACAATATAAAATTTACCCATTATTTGAGACCCAAGGATGCTCAAACTTAAATTAGTCAATATATCCTTGCATGGTTGTCATAATAAATAAATAAATAAATGCTTTAAAAGGAGTAAGTATTTTCGTGCCCATGTATGATATATAATATAATTAAATACATTATCTGTACTGTTCATAAATATTAATAAATCAAACACGCTTTAGGATTTTGGTATTTAATATTTGTTTTCATTTCTTGACGTGATTAATTTCGGTGAGAATTTGCTGGCTCAGATCATATTAAGCTGAGTGATTTTTCTGACAAAGATGTGCACGTTACACTAAAACATTATGCCCTGTTATATTATTTTTTTACACAAAAATAATATTTAAATTTTGCTTCGCCTTCACACTTGAGTTTTCTTCCAAATTAAACACCACCAACAACCAATTTACTACATCCACTTAATTATGAATTTGTCTGTAGTATATAATTATACTAAAGAGTCTGAAGGATTTATTTTATGGAGTATATTTTTATATAAAAGTACGCAAATGTTTTGTTCAAACATTGGCGCCTTTTCGGATTTCTATATCACCTGGTTATGTTATTTTATTTTTTCTTGAAAGCATTTTAATTTTAACTGTAACATTTAAATGTACTACAGAATGTGTTCTTCCTTAAGGATTCCTAACCTCTTTAGCACATGCATGAAGTGACATAAAATCAAATAATAAAAACATTTATGCCGTGTTAAATAATTTTTTATATTAAAAAACTCTCCTACCATTTTCCAAGGTAAAATTTGACATAGGATTAATAAAGTACTACCTCCGGTTCTTAAATTAAGATCTATTTTTTAACTTGTCCATGGTACCTTTGCAAGTATTGTGTGTTAAAGGGTGGGAATTATTTATCCAACTCTGATCTTCACATCTCATGAAATATATAGCTAGCCTTATAAAGCTTATAATAAGACCAAGAATATGTTTCTAAATAGATTCAGCACTTAATTATGAGAGGTCATTAATTAAGAGTTAATATAATTTTTGGTCCCTCAAGTTTGTCCTTATTTTAGTTTTGGTTTTTTTAAATTTCAAGCAATAGGTTTTAATCCCCAAAAGGCAAAATAGTTCAGATTTTTATTGGATTATAGGCCCAAT